CCGTGTGTCGGCGGCCCGAGCCTCTCAGGGCTCCCACGGGGCAGGGCGCCCCCCACCCACTTCACCCAACGGAAGCCCACCCTCCCCGCCCGGGCTCCCCTGCCCCTGCCTGAGGGTGAGGCGGAGGAGGAGGCCATGGCACGGGGACTCCTGTGGGCCCACAGTGACAACTGGTGTTTTCTTCTAGAAAGTCTCCTGCTTTCACTGCGGTCCCGCTTAGCGACCCGCCGCCACCGCCGAGCGAGGCTGAGGACTCCGATCGTGATGTCCCCTCCGACAGCTCCTTGAGATAGGACCTGCCCGCCCCGGGCCCTCGTGGCCCCACGTGCTGGAAAGGCCACGGTGGAGGGTGGGCTTCGCAGAGGGCAGCGCCACACCACCACTCGCCCCAGCCTGGCGCGGCCGGGGCGCTCTTCCCTTGGCTTCCTTCCACGGTCCCTGGCCTCGCCGGGGTTCTGGCGTCTGGAGCCAGGTTCTGCCCTACCTGCCGCGGGCCACCCGGACTCAGTGGGGCTCTCCTGCCTGCGCGTTCAGGGTGCCTGCTGCTTTCCCATCTGTCGAACCTCCTCCATCGTGGACGGACTGGACGGACGTGGGCAGGGCCAGCTCGCCGTCCGCTCCTGTACTGGTGCTAAGGGGCTCAGGCGCGGCACGTGAGCGCAGCGTATGCAGCAGGGGTTGGAGAGGGTCCCCATGGGAGCGAGGGAGGCAGGACTGGACAGGCCTGCCCTCCCTGTTGTCCACGCTCACAGCTGCTCACCGGCCGGGCAGTGCATGCAGCTGTGGCCCTTCCCTCTTGGAGAGGGGCATTAGTGCCCGGCTGGGTGCAGTGTCACTGCCGAGTGACAGGAAAGGTGAAGCTTCCCGTGTGCATGCGCATGGGTGTGTGTGCACACATGGGTGTGTATGTGCACACGTGGGTGTGCTGCTTGTGCGCTCAGGGTCTGTTTGCGTGTCAGCTGAAGACGTGCCTCGTCCGTGTCTGTCAGATGCTGAAACCCGCAGGCCACGACACCCGACAGGAGAGCTTGGACAGTGGGGGCCGGACTGAGTCCCTGGGTCTATGCGGCCGCGGAGCTGACATCTGAACGGGATCTTTAATAATAACGAAACTGGCGCGTGTACACGCAGCTCCTTGGTGTCACTGTGTCAAGCACTTTGTAACGACACTCCCAGCTCCTACTGTCAACTCCATCCCAAACATGCACGTGCAAAGGGAGGCCCAGGTCCCAGGTCCCGTGGCCAGCATGGCAGGGCCAGCTTCTCACCTCAGCTCATCTTCCTCAGAGGTGCTTGGTGGGCAACGCCTTGTGTTTTTTTCTTTTTTTAATTATTATTTAATACTGGGACCAGCAGTTAACATAAAGGCTATGTCACAGGACTCCCATGTAGTCGACCGCAGTTCACATTCTGGACCCGGTGGCTTAAACTCACACCAGGCGCATGTGTGTGCATGCCCAGGATCCCGAGAGAATGGAGAAGGGATTGCAGTGTGGCCACACCCCCTGGGGGGGTGCTTTCTCTCTGTCTCTTTCTGGCAAGCGCATGCACCCTATAGCAAAAACCTCTCCAAAAAAGAAAAAAAAAAAGAATTATTTAATACTCATTTTAATCTGACCAGAGAGAAAGCCACCGGGTCTAGGACTTGAACTGTGGTTGGCCATATGGGAGTGTCCAGCACCTTAACCATCATACTACCTGCTGGTCCCTGCCTTGTGCTTTTTAAAGCTTTTGCTGCAAGGCAGGACACTAGCCCACTAGCAGGAGAGGGAAAGGGAGATGCCACCATCCTCCAGGGGCTGGCCACATAATCCTTTCCTCTTGGGATTCTGGGCACACAGGTCTGGGCTCGTGGTGGACAGTTACGTGGGACCCAGTGCCTCAAACTCGATGCCACCAGCAGGCCCATGGCTCATTTCAAATTACAGTGCTCACATGAGCCATGGCTCTGGGTCTGCCATCCCTGGGAAGGCTGGGAGCTGGCTCCCATCAGAGCAAGCTGCAGACCAGGTACTAGGCTGGAGGTGGGGCGGGCTGCATGGGCCGTGTTGCCCTCCCTGAGCAGCCAGTCCTCAGAAGTGCAGGACTGGCTCCCTGTAGCACCCAGGGGCCTCTGGAGTGGAGATGGTCCCCAGTGGCGGGTGTGGGCGCTCACACCTTCAGGAAGGCTGGCTGCGTGCCCACTGACCACAGGGTCAGTGCAGGTTGGCCCCTTGGCGCCAGCCCCACTCCCTCCGCTCCCTCCTGCCTACCCTCTACCCTAGGAGAGAGAAGGGACGGAAGACCTGGCTGATAGAGTGTACTTTATTGATGGTTCGTGACAAGGAGGGCTCCTCTGCCCCTCCCTTCTGCAGGGGTCTGGGATGGAAACTGTCAAGGAGGGGAGCTTCTCAGTGTGGTGGGGACTGAGCGGGAGCAGGGCCTCCCCAGCAGCTGAGGGCCTCGTCCTCGTGCTCACGCTGGGGCTGGTGGTCGGGAGCTCTACTCCTTGGAGGCCATGTGGACCATGAGGTCCACCACCCTGTTGCTGTAGCCAAATTCATTGTCATACCTGGAAGACAAGCGGTCTGTAAGCACCACTTCTCAGAGCAGCCACCAGAGGGCGCCACACCCAACAGCACCCTCTGCCTGGCCCCTGCTCCCCAGGCACATACCAGGAGATGAGCTTGACAAAGTGGTCATTGAGGGCAATGCCAGCCCCAGCATCGAAGGTGGAGGAGTGGGTGTCGCTGTTGAAGTCACAGGAGACGACCTGGTCCTCAGTGTAGCCCAGGATGCCCTTCAGGGGGCCCTGCGACGCCTGCTTCACCACCTTCTTGATGTCATCGTATTTGGCCTTCAAGGGACAAGCAAGGTGGCACTCCAGTTCCAGCCTCACCACTCCCACCCCCACAGCCTTCCCAGCCCAAACGTACAGCTTTCTCCAGGCGGCAGGTCAGGTCCACGACCGACACGTTGGGGGTGGGGACACGGAAGGCCATGCCGGTGAGCTTCCTGTGGGCCAGGGAGGCAGGGTCAGCACCTGTGCCCGGCCTCAGCCTGCGGCCCCCACGCCCACTGCCCAGCACCAAGGCCTCACCCGTTCAGCTCCGGGATGACCTTGCCCACAGCCTTGGCAGCCCCGGTGGATGCTGGGATGATGTTCTGGGCAGCCCCACGGCCATCACGCCACAGCTTGCCCGAGGGGCCGTCCACAGTCTTCTGGGTGGCAGTGATGGCGTGGACTGTGGTCATGAGTCCCTCCACGATGCCGAAGTTGTCGTGGATGACCTTGGCCAGGGGGGCCAAGCAGTTGGTGGTGCAGGAGGCATTGCTGAGTAAGAGGGGCAAGTCAGGGGCCTGCTAAGAGCAGGGTGTGGGCCGCCCTCCCTGCCGCCCGCCCTGCTCACCTGACAATCTTCAGGGAGTTGTCGTACTTCTCATGGTTCACGCCCATCACAAACATGGGGGCGTCCGCGGAGGGGGCAGAGATGATGACCCTCTTGGCCCCACCCTTCAAGTGAGCCTGCAATGGAGGAGGCTTCGTTTCGGGCCCAGGCTCCTACTGCCCCGGCTCCCGGGGTCAATTCCCCGTTCGGCCTCCCTGCCACTCACCCCAGCCTTCTCCATGGTGGTGAAGACACCGGTGGACTCCACAACATACTCGGCACCAGCATCACCCCATTTGATGTTGGCGGGATCTCGCCTACGAGGGGGCACAGGACAGTTCAGGGGCATGAGGTCCCCGGGGCGGCTACCCTGTCCTAACTCCCGAAGCACAGGCTTCCACGGTCCACTCACTCCTGGAAGATGGTGATGGACTTCCCGTTGATGACCAGCTTCCCGTTCTCGGCCTTGACGGTGCCGTTGAACTTGCCATGGGTGGAGTCATACTGGAACATGTAGACCTGGAGGAGCGAGGGGGCTGCTGAGGCTGTCCCCCCGCCAGGGGGCGCCCCACCGCCGCAGGGGCAGCACTCACCATGTAGTTCAGGTCAATGAAGGGGTCGTTGATGGCCACGACATCCACCTTGCCAGAGTTGAAGGCAGCCCTGGTGACCAGGCGCCCAATACGGCCAAATCTGAGGGACAAGGGAGCAGGCCTGAGGACAGGAGGACTGAGGCCGCCCCAGGCCACCTCGCCCTCTGCAGCAGGCAGGAGGGAGTCCCATCACCTGCCAGCACCCCCCAGCTGGCCTGGCTTTACAGCAAGGCCATGAAGTGTCGGCTCCCGTCCTGCCTGAGGCGATCTGGCTCAGGACCCGCCCCGTCAGGTCATCTCAAGGCCTTCCAGGACAGGCAGCGTGGGGTGCTGCCACCCACATTCAGGCCACAAGCTCGGCACATGGCACTCGGCACCCCCACGGTGCCCAGGAATGCTTGCTCCTGCCTGGCCGGGCTTCAGGCTCCACCCTGGAGGACTTGTGCACTCAGCACCACCGGGCTCAAAGGGCAGGGGGAAAGGTCAGAAACTGGCCAAGGCTGAGCCCACCCTCCCCCAGCCCCGCCCACCGGAGGGAGAGCCCAGGGCCAGCTCTTCTCCCACGGGCCCATCCCAGGGCTCCAACACGCTGCACGGCCTGTCCTTCTAATGCTTTTCTAGAAACCGGGGTGGTGGCAACCGTGTGAGTGTGGGGGTGGGGAGGACAGCGGCCCAGGCCCCCATCACAGAAAGGTCAGGCGGCTAAATTTAACCTCAGATTAGGGTGGAGTGGGCAGATCTGGTTTCTGGAAGATGGAATAGGGAGAAGGGCAGGATTCCGAGGCCCTCGGACACCTAATCCCTGCAGTGACCTTTACAGTCTGGCCTTTAGGGTCAGGTCAGCTCTAGGCTCCAAGGGAACTGAGGGGCGCTGAGGGGTGGTGCAGGAAAGGGACTGCTGCTCCCGCAGACATTTAGCGGAGGAAATTTTCTAATTGCCCATGACTCAGCTCCCCCAGCTTGGCACTGAGCCACGCGACCACACCTCTCCCAGGAAGGAGGAAAAGGAGCAGGACCTCCCTAAGGCCACTGCTTTGATTGGCCAGTCAGCTAGGAAAGGCATCGCGCTCGGGGGAAGCTGGGCTCGGGGCTTGAGGGCTGGGATCGGGGGACAGGACCAGAGGCCTGGGTTCTGAGGTCCAGCTCTTCTGAGCCAGAGCGGGACAAGCCTTGCCTCACTTGGTTTACCGATAAAGGGGACTCCACCCGACTGGGCCAAGAGGAGGGTTAGTCACATGCAAAAGAGGAGGAAGGTTTCCTAACGGGGCTCATTCATTTCCTCTCCTGTTGCAACATGGCGGCGGGGTGACCGCAAGTGAGCCCGCCGCCCCCGACCGGTAGCGCACACAGCAGGACAAGGCGCATCCCGGGGCTGGCCAGGCCGGGAGGTGGGAGGAAGGCGGCCGTGGGGGAGGGGCCCCTGCCTGGGCACGTGACCTCGCAGGGCGCGAAAGGAAGAAAGGAGCCCCAGCTAGGGGACCACAGGGGGCCGGGGCGGGGTCGGGGCGAGAACTGGGGGCTCTGCAGTCAGGCTGCCGGAGTGCAGTGGGAGGCTCCCGGCAGTCGTCCCCGCAGGGGCGGAGTTACAGAAGGCGCAACCCGCCCCCCCCAGGGTGGGGGACAGTCTGAGCGCCGACCTTGAGCTCTCCTTGGGGGTTCCCCCCCCCGCCGACCTCCGGCCCACGCGCGACTGCAGAGACTCCGATCGGGTCCCGCAAGACCGGCACACGCGACCCTGTGCGGCCGCAGCCCGGGCCCCGCCCTCCCCCCTAACTCACCCGTTTACTCCGACCTTCCCCCCCCCCCCCCCCCCCCCCCCCCCCGGGCCTCCATTCCCACCGCGCGCCTCATCACGTCCTCCCACCCCTGCAATGCGGAGGCCAGGCCCGGCCACGTCCTGGACCCCGCACCGCCACGGCCACGTCCCAGCCCGCCCGCGCACAAATACCCCGACCCTTCTGCGACCGTCCCCGAGCCTCAGGTGGCTCCGCTTAGCTTGCGTTCACCTGGCACTGCACGGCAGGAGCGGCTGGCTGTCGAACGGGGAGGAGCAGAGAGCGCCGGGGGAGGCTGCGGCCTCAATTTATAGGGACGGGCGGGGGCGGGGGGGGCGGGCGCGGGCGCCGCCCCCCGCGGCTGGTCCAGTGGCAGCCAGAGGGCGCGGAAGCCTGAGCTACGTGCGCCCGTAAAACTGCGAGTAGCCGGGACCCTGTTTTTTTTCCTGGACTCGCCTCGTTTTTCAATGTGCACGCACCTGGCGTGTGGTTCAGGGGGGAGGGGAGAAGGGGACCGAGGCTGCCCGGACGTGGGGGTGGGCATGACCGGACTGCGGGCCTAGGAAGTCAGGGGCCTTGGCGAGCACCGAGGACGTCCAGGGGCCAGGGACGGTATAGTTAATGCTGGTGGAACCGGAGGCCCCTGGGAGCTGAAAGGGTGCGGAATGAGAGCCAGAGCCCGACGGCTGCGGCTGCACGCGCCGGCCCCCCCCCCTGTCTGCC